TGCAGCTTTCCAGTCAGCTTAAATCATTGTGATTTGTCAGTTCACAACTTCATGAAATTTTCTTCTCTCCCTGTTCCCTTTATTTTCATGGACTGCTATCTATTCAGTTCTTGGCTGAGTCACCAAAGAACATTGCCATGGTCATGTATCAAATTGATTTTAAGCTCTGCCATGACCCAGGCTTGACCAGAGAGACAACCCATAATCAGATTTTACATGCACAAATATCAAAATATTAAAATTCATGACAACTATGTTTGTTCATCTCACACATCTCTGCTTACTAACACCAATGTCCTTTCTCACTACTGCTATCAGTTCTGATTAAAATTGCTTTGAGCAAGGGCCAAACTGGATTTGAAAAAGAAAAATGTTGCCTTTTGGTTTCATGATTTTGTGAGGAGGGATATCTATCAGAAAGCAGAAGAGAAAGGAATTGTTATTAGGTGAGGACTGTACGTTCTCTTTCTTCTTTGAGCTTGAAATGCAGTTGAGTCTATCTGTATTGTTCCTGCAGGTAAAATTATAATGTGTATCAATGAATCTATTAAAAATTTCAGCCTTTGAATGTGTCACTCTTTTTTTAGGCAAAGAAGCACCGTGACATTGGGTACACAGCAGAAAATATTGATCAGGTTTTTTACAAGTAATTGTCAGAATCATAGCTTGCTAAGAATGCATGACCCTCTTTTATCTTTTTCTCTAGGGTCAATTTCAACCTGTTGTGATTCTCAACAAATTGATTTAATATATTTTATAGGACTCTTCTGACTGACCCACAAATACACAATATGCTACATAATATTGTAACACAATTGTTTGGAATCAACACTTTGTATGGCTATACAATTTAATCAATATAAAACAAAAGTTAATTAAAAAAAATTAAAAACTGTTTGGACAAAAGCTACCAATCCATATCAGCAGTAGGATCTGGTTACCTAAATTTGGAGGGGGAAAAAATAACTTTCCCAAGTAATTATCAGAACATCATACACTACTGAACATCATACACTACTAGAAACCAAAACTGAATAGATCTGCAATGGGAGTTCAATAAACTAGTTCACTTTGCAGAAGAACACTCTATACATGCTCAGAGGGAATCAAAGTGTTAAAATGCATAAATACAAAATACTAACCCTCTGTATACTGTCAGCCATCCATATCCATGGATTTTTTTAATGCACAGATTTAGTTTACACCGCTTGAAAATATTTTTAAAAGTATAAATTCCAAAAAGCAAACCTTGATTTTAGATAAGGGACACCATTTTACTACGCCATTGTATATAATGGGACTTGGGCATCCACGGATTTTGTTATCCATGGGTGGGGGTGGAGGTCCTGGAACCAAACTCCAGCGGATACCAAGGGTCCACTGTACATTATTTTCACATGGCAGGTGAATGAATGTAACACTCAAAGACAGAATTGTTTCAGTTTCAATGCTGGGTTTATACAAGCACATTAGATATTTATTCAGTATACAGTAGGTCAGTGATGTCGAACCTTTTAGGGACTGAGTGCCCAAACTAAAAGGCCTTCCGGCCCTGGGTTTGCCCAGTGCCGGGGGTGGACTTCCACCCTCTGGCTGAAGGCCAGGGAGAGTCTGGAAGGAGGAGAAACAGGTGTGTGCTTCTTTCTCCTCCTTCCCCGTGCCATCCCCGGCCTTCACCTGCCTCCGGAAAGGCAGCTGAAAGCCTGGGACAGCTGAGAAGGAGGAGGAACAGGTGCACGCCTCTTCCTCCTCTTCCCTGCCCTCCACGTGCAGGGGAAAATGGCTTTGCGTACCATCTCTGGCACGCGTGCCATAGCTTCGCCATCATAGCAGTAGGTCCTTGTTCCAGGACCCCCTGTGGATACCATAATACATGGATAATTGAATCCCACTAAATACAATGGCATACTGAAAATGTGTCTCTGATATTAAAATGGCAAAATCAAGGTTTGCTGTTTGGAATTTATACTTGTATATTTTCAAGCTTTGGATGTTTAAATCTGTAGATGAAAAATCCATGGATACAGCAGTCCGACTGTATAAGTAGGCTGACCATATGTAACCTCTTGAATGGGACAGTACCACTTTTTTTTCATATGTCCAGATTGTCTCATCATTTTAATCTAAATATGTGTCAATTTTGGGCCTTTGCAGACTGCTAGAAATAGTGCAAACTGAGTCCTCTTAAACTGCCCTGGCTCAGTGCTAGGGAATCATGGGAATTGTATTTTTTTCTGAGACATTGAGTCTTCTCTGTCAGAGAGCTCTGGTGTCACAATAAACTACAGCTCCCATGATTCCCTAGCACTGAGTCAGGGCAGTTAAAGTGGATTCAGTTTGCACTATTTCTGGCAGTCTGCAAAGGCCCTTTGTCTCTTTTATCCTATGTTGTTTCCTTCATCAATTTCATCATGGTCTGATATTACACCTTGTTAATATTAATGTCATTGTTATGATATGCCAAGACTATGTTAATTGTTATTGTTATTGTCAACAATGTGAAATGTTTTCTTAATTATGCTAAATAAAGTCATTTAAAAAAATTGTCTTGTTTTCAGGGAAAATGCTGTTATGTTGCAAAAAAATTGGAAGATCCCTATTTGAAATTGTGGTTGTTAAAAAAATGTGTCATGGAGTGTAAGAAATTTTGTAATAAGGCGTTGAAAGTTCGAAATTTGCTGGGTAAGATTACTTTATCAGAGAAATATTCATGGTACGTTTGTGGTACATCTACCTAAATTTCTCTCTCAGTTCTGTCACTGAAGAATAATTGTTAGTCCAACATGCTCATGTAATAAAACTTTTGTTATCGTCTTCCTTTTTCATGAGTACAGAATATTACATAACCCCGTCCCGTTTTTGTCATCTCATTGTCATCCCTTTTGTTTCAAGAAAATATGGTCAGTCTATATATAAGGCTACTATTCTTTGTGCCTCACAGGGAGGAAACATAGCAGAAGACAACAAAAAATGACTACAGGTACAATCCCACAAGGAGCCAGTGTGGCCTAGTGGTTTGAGTGTTGGGCTCTGGTTCTGGAAACCAGGGTTCAATTCCCAGCTCAGTCATGTAACCCCTTGGGTGACCTTGGGCAAGTCACACTCTCTCAGCCTCAGGGGAAGACAAGGGCAAACCTCATCTGAACAAATCTTGCAAGGAAAACCCACCATCCAGAGCTTGAAAATACTCCAATAAAATGTTTTTTTTTTAAAAAAATATATATCCAAAAAGCAAACTTTGATTTAGCCATTTTATATTAGGGACACCATTTCGCTATGCTATTGTATATAATGAGCATCCACAGATTTGGCTTTCCACACAGGGTCCTGGAACCAAACCCCAGAGGATACCAAGAGTCCATTGTAAATATTTATAAGGATTAGTTTTCAACCTGGCTACAATACAATTTGGAGGACCCACAATATCTGAAACCAGATCACCAATCCAACTATTCCTTATCAAAATGGCTGGCCCCCACACCCTCACTTATACTTTATTTTACATGTGGATTCAGACTAAATTTTATAAGCAGGGAGCATATTAGTATTACTTGCAAGCCATCTCATTCAAAGGGCAATGATATCAAAGTTGAATAAGAATTTTGCAAAACTTTCAACCGGCTGGCAGGGCCTTCAGCCAGCAATAAGTTTAACTAGTCCCCAAAGCTGTAAATAATGTGAGCCACAAGAAAGTATAAGAAGGTGACTTTGGGCAAGTCACACTCTCTCAGCCTCAGGGTAAAGCAATGGCAAACCTCCTCTGGACAAATCTTGCCAAGAAAACCGTATCATAAGTCAGAAACGGCTTGAAGGCACACAACACACACAAGAGAGCGATTCTGAGTAAGTAAGGTCCAAAACACACTGAAGAAATAATCTACTTTTTTGAGACCAATTTAACTGCTCTGGCTCAATGCTAGGGGATCTT